ATTTATGGAGAAGCTGGTACCAGGATCTGACCCCAACGAGGATGTGCGCAAGACATTCAAGCAATTTATGGGAAACAGCTATGATGGCAAGGAGGACGAGATGTATCGGAACTTTGTAAGTGCTTGCGCCACACTCTCCCGCCCAAACGGTAACCTTCATGTAATAATGCCAGTGCGAGGTCGTCACATCGATTCTTGATTCTTGCGGGAAGGACGAGGACAGGCTGGTTGTCAAAGCGACTGCTCAGTGGCCTGACACATCTGCAGGTGACAGTAGCATGGACAAGGACACCAATAGACAGAGGCCGGATCTGATGATCTATCCAACGACAGAGGCGGCGCAGAAGGCGTACACACTCTCGGCGAAAGATATCAATAATAGCAGGGGGAAGGATCGAGCGCACGACGCGCGGACGTCGTGGGCGTGGTCGCTGCTTCCGATCGAGCTCAAGTCGGATGAGCACAGAGAGCGGCCGTTCCAGTTCTCTGTGAAAGGATTTCATCGGTCGACGAAGAGCAGTGATCCTGCCGTCGGTCTTGGCCAGATATCGGAATACGCTTGGAACGTAATGCGCTGGCAACACCGACAATTCTGTTTCATGTTGGTCGTATGTGGTCGTTTTGCTCGAATAATCCGATGGGACAGAGCTGGAGGCCTGGTGTCAAGTAGTTTTAACTTTGTCGATGACCCTACGATCCTGCAGAACTTCTTATATCGATTCGGACACATGAGCAGGGAGGAGCGGGGATATGACCCGACCGTCACGCTTGCGCGCCAGGAGTACATCGACGAGATGTACAGCTGTCAGAAGGAGCTCTCTACGTACCAGCAGCAACGTTTCGCCAAGGCGTTCCCGAAGGAGACGGAGAGAGGGCAATGGCCAATATATGAGGTTTGCATGCGGAAGGAAGACGTCGTCACTCCTAGCACCATCAACTGCGATGAGGTGAAGAAGTCGGCGTCGCGCCTAGGAGACGATTCTGCCTCTGGAGGACCATCCGAAGGACAGGAAGACGAGAGGGCCAAGTATCTGCGGTTCCTGATCGGGAAAGCGACCTTCATCAGCAGTTCGCCGACAGGACGAGCGACGAAGGGATTCGTTGCTTTCGACATGCACCTGAGGCGACTTGTATTCTTGAAGGACGTGTGGCGAGTGACTAATGTCCCTACCGAGTTGGAGGTCTACGAGAGACTGTGGAAACACGAAGTGTCCAATATCCTGACGCCAATCTGCGGAGGAGATGTGGGAGGGTCACGGTCACCTGGATCGCCATCGCCGCAGACAACAAGAACGCAGGAATTTGTGAAGAAGCAATCTGCGCGGGTGCACTTTCGATTGATCGTGTATCAAGTCTGCAAGCCTCTGACGGAATATAGCGACTCGAGAGAGCTTGTATGCATCCTCCTCGACGCAATATTGTGTATGTATAACTTCTGTATGTTGTCCTCTCATGCTCACATCAGGTCCAGGTCATCATGATGCCTGGGTGGACGCTCAAATACTGCACCGAGATGTTAGTGTTGGAAATATTTTGATTGATGTTGAAGCTATGGTAGGGGGTAACGAGATGGCCATTGGGATCCTGAGCGACTGGGACATGTGCAAGTACAAGGAGGATCTGGATAAGGGAGCGGCGCAAAAACAGCGATCGGTACGTTTATCAAAATATATTGAGCTATCCTTCAGAATATACTGACTGTTCACGAAGGGTACATGGCAGTTCATGTCTGCTCTGCTGCTGAAGGATCCTCACAAGCGTCATGAGGTGTCTGACGACATCGAGTCGTTCGTGCATCTCACGAATTGGCTTATTCTCCGCTTCCACCCACACAATCTGAGTGGAAAGTCTCATCGCCAGCTGCTGCTTGATTACGTGACATTAACGTATGATAAACACATTTCCAAGGACGGCGCCGACGTCGGTGGGGACCAAAAGCTAATTCATATGCGAAATGGGGAGGTTGGGTTCTATCCAAAAGCTCAAGTATTGGAGGATCTCACTCGATCACTGGCCGAGATGTGCAAAGACCATTATGCCACCCTCACCTCATATACCCAGCGACTCGAAGGTAGGGAGGACTCGAAGACACCGACTCTGATCGTTGGAAAGCCACAAGGTCCCCCTCGGCGTTTACGGCCTACTCTTCGCTCCACGGACGGTCTTATTGAACCTGAAGAACCTAGACAGCAGCCACAGGCACCCAGACAGCAGCCGCAGGGCTCTCCTACGTTGGCTAATCATGAGGCAATTTTCAAGATCTTCACACGGACGCTTGAGTATGGCTCATCCGGAGACAAGGGCACTGATCAATTCGAGATGCTTTGGGCTGTTTCGACGTCTGCGGGACAGAAGCGTAGTCTAGAGACCCCGGAGCCGCTCACATCGCAACAGGCGAAGAAGGCTAAGGGAGCGGATACACGAGAGGAGTCGTCTGGTGTGCGTGGAGGTACCCCTCACACGGGCTCGTTGCCTGTGGTTGACGAGGGTGCGGAGGTTGAGTAGGTTGATGTCGTACCATGTGTAGTGCTCCTGGATGAGAGTGCACACGAAAGTTACAAATGACTGTATTGAATCATTAATCATGCCTAGTGGGAAGTGACATGAATGAACATCAGAAATTGTGACATTCGTTGAGCTCAAATTATTAGTTCCGCTCTTCCTGCATTGCGAGGTCGATTCGGAAAAATTAAGTACCCACGATGACTCGAGTTCTGTTTGATGAAGGCGCTCTCCCGCCCATTCTGCCTTTACATGCTCTCGACGTACAACCCAAACATGTGCATTTGGTCATAAGAGCCTGCCAGTTCTCGTGCACTGTTTTCCAAGTAGTAAAGAGGGTTATATTTGATATTCTCAGCTCGCCATTGCCCTCTACTCAGGATCTCCGACCTCAGTGTGTCATATGCATGCAGACCATGACGCACAGATGAACAGCAAAGCAGGATTACCAGTCTCTGGGATTCACACTCGCACTGCGATACATCTCGCGACATTCCACTTACGAACATTCGCTCCCTAGAGTTGTGGCTCAGAAAGAGACGCGCCACTCCATGACGACTTTGGGTTGATATCGAATCATGGTCGTATACATGTTTCAGTCCCCTGTCGGCGTGGGGCGGTTGGTGGTTGGGAAGTGAGAGGCATACACAGCTTCCTGAACACTTCCTGTGCATACTACACCTGACAAACCCAAGGTACAAGCAGCGAAGCTGTCGCTCGAACGTAGCGGGTGAGGTAGCAAGGAGCTGTGGAAAAGGTGTGGCCCAGTGAAAAACTGGTGCGCGCGAGGTTGTGGGCTACGAAGGACAGCAGATATAAATATACCTTCCAAAATTTACTAGTAGTATGTTGCGGACTCGGATGAGATCTGCGCAAGCGCAAATGCGAGCAAAAAAGATGTGGCTGAGGAGGGTTTCCACGTGACCGTTCCTTGAAACATTAAACCGTGTCTCGGCCAAATCCCAACTGAGCCTTGCTAAACCTTCCCTTCTTCCTTGACCTTACTATCCAGTGCTCAACTATCAGACTATTCAGCAGGATCTATCTTGTGTATTGCCACAAGAAATGCGACTACATCTAACCGAGCTGCCTGTCCAGCAGTTTATGGACGACTTCGTGGCTGGCCCTGACCCAACCGATGCAGTGCGCGCGACGTTCGAGAAGCCTCAAGAAATAGGCGATAGGTTCAAGACCGGTTTATCATATCTGCATTTTGTGAGCTTTCATCGATCCCGGTTGTCCTGCACCGCGCTCAACGGGACTTAGTGCGCGTTCCTCAATTCCGTGTTAGATTCGTGTGCGGCAGAGACTCAGGACGACAAACTCGTGGTGAAGGTCACCTCACGCTGGGAGGACACTTCTGAGCTGCAAACAGAGTTGATGCGATCAAAGCAAGAGTACAGGCCGGACCTGATAATTTATCCCACCACCAATATGGCCAGGAAGGCATACACATTATCCAAGACCGACCTTCAAACGCTTCATATCAAGAAGTACATTGAACACAAAGCGCGTACGTCTTGGGCATGGGCACTGCTACCTATACAATTCGTACTGGAATATACCGAGAATCTATCGGTCCCGTTTAGCTTTGGCTCTGATACCTTCTTCCGCACAATGGACAGCGACGACTGGGATCCATGTTTGGACAAGATCTCTCAGTGTGCGAGGGATGTGATGCGATGGTAACATCGGCAGTTCTGTTTCACAGTCATTGTCTATCAAAAGTATGCGCGCTTACTTCGATGGGACCGTGTCGGAGCGGTCGTCTCGAGCAGCTTCGATTTTGTGGACAACTCGACGATTGTAGAAAAATTCTTCTACCGTTTCGGGCGTATGAACAGGGAACAGCGTGGATTCGATCCAACGGTGTCGTTTGCTCGGCCAGACTATGTGCAAGAGATGTACAGCGTTAGAGAAAAGCTGTCCGACTATCAGAAAGAGTGCTTCTCCGATACGTTTGGAGACGATGCCATCGCGGCGACATGGCCAATCTACGAGGTTTGTATGCGCGAAGACGACTTTGTGAAGCCTGATTTAATTTCCTCCGCACGCGTGGAAGAATCGGCTGAGCGATTCGAGACCGCAGGTGGATGCAACGACAGGGCGGGCGAGCAAGGAAGCGGCTTGGGGCAAGACAAATACCTGCGGTTTCTTGTTGGCAAGCCTCGGGTGACTAGTAGCTCGCTGATCGGGCGAGCAACAAAAGGTTTCGTGGCCTATGACATATACCTCAAGCGACTAGTGTTTCTAAAGGATATATGGCGAGTAAAATCGCGCAGTGCTGTAACCGAGTTGCAGGTATATCAGCGGTTATGGAAACATAACGTATCACGGATACTTACACCAATCTGCTGGGGAACCGTGAGGTCGACGAGAGACGCTGTTTCAGCACCGCAGATGACGAGAACACAAACATACATGAAAGAGAAGCGTACTCCGTGGATTCATTGTCGTATGATAGTGTATGAAGTGTGCAGGCCGCTTACGGAATACCAGGATTCGCGGCAGCTTATACTGATCTTAATCCATGCGATAATCTGTGAGTGTTTTGCGATGAATTACTAGATTGATGTTCTGAAGTTTTGCACAGGTCATCGAGACGCCTGGGAAAAGGCAGGTGTGCTCCATCGGGATATTAGCGTTGGTAATGTTTTGATGGATGTGGAGACTGAAGACAGTTGCATGGGGCATCCTACATGACTGGGATATGTGTGCGTATAAGGAAGTCATGGAGAAAGACGGCGCATGGGGCAATCGTGTGGTATGTTCACTCGAGAGATGGATGAAGTTGTTGCTGACCCATCAAAAAGGGAACGTGGCAATTTATGTCTGCCTTGCTTCTGAAGGATCCTAAGAAGCGCAACGAGGTGTCTGATGATATTGAATCATTCGTACATCTGATCAACTGGCTCATGCTCCGCTTTCACCCTCACAATTTCAGCGCAGATGGACTTCGACATCATGTGAAGCAAGAGTACGAAGACCATTATATTGATGACGACAATGCCAAGATTGGTGGTCGGTGGAAGCTACTACACATAGAATGTGGGAAAGTTGAGTTCTACCCCAGAAGCGAGGTCCTTCAATTGCTCACACAATCGCTTGGCGCAATGTGCACTCGTCATTATGGCACGCTCGTGCCGTATTTACGACGATTAGAGAACTTGAATAGCTCTCCACGGGAGTCCGAACAGCAGCCAAAGGGGTCGCCTATGTTGTCGGATCATTCCGTAATTCTGGACATCCTTGAGGAGCTGCATGAGTTTGAACCGTCTGGGGACAAATGCGACGATCAATTCAAATGGCTCCGACCCGAGGTTTTGACACCATTTTTAAGTGGCAATTCTTCTTCTACTTACATACTTGCATCGGAATCCTCTGTTTCTGTCGGACGAAAGCGTAGTCGGGGGAGCATGGATCCGGAATCATTGCAAGTCCATAGAGCGAAAAGGGCTAAAGTGTCGGGCACCTAGGAGGAACCGAGTGAGCGGATTTTTCTTGGTTGCAAAGACGAAGAGATGAGCTGTACATGCTCGAATGTCATGATATTTGGATTTCCGAATTTGTCAACTACTGTCACTTACGCGTATCGTAACAAGCTCATGACCCGTTACTCGTGACGAATTCTCGCCACGAGTAGCATTATCGTCTAATTGAATGACTCATGTCGATTGATTTTAGATGACACAAATCCTCCCGTCAGCTTCATGAATTCAGACTACAAAGCTTACTGTGCATCCTCGCAGAGCGTAAGTCAACTTTGGCGTCGAGATTGAATCAATTTATTGTCCGGGAGGCAATGGAGACTTTCGCGTCAGTGTTAGACTTCGCTGACGAAGTGCAACCGGCGCAGAGGAGACTCGGACGTATTCTGTGAGTGCTTACGCTTGACCGTTGCTACTGAATAGCGGAAAAATCCAATCACCCTTTGAACGCACGTGTTCACGTCTGAACGACTACCGCCGTCGATGTATGAAGTACGTGGTCCTATGGAGCCTTGATATACGGAGCTAGCCTCGACTGGTCTTTTCAGACACGAATAGCCGCGTGGCTAGCAAGAGCGGATGGTTCCTCAGTCTGCGATTAGTCATGTGGACGAACTTCAAGTGTCCAATAGCTGGACAGACATGCCATGTCCACGTACGATTCGACCAGACTGCACATGTCTACCAACTTTTCATCTCACACGATGCTCTCATTGCGATGATATGCTCCTCGGTGCGAATCTCATTGCGGCACCTTTTTCACAGTCTAGAACCTTTTATCTAAATGTGGCGCGCTTATGTTTATGACCTCAGGCTACCAGACCCAATTGCAATCCGCTGGCCCAAGCCGTGTATTCGATCAGTTCAACTATACCTCTGGAAGACAAGACCGTATCAGTCACGACGAGGCCGAGACCAAATCGCGCTCATAACCAACTGCCACGGCAACCAAGCAACCGGTCGTTTGTCCCTTGTTCATACCCCGCACCCTCAAATATCTTCCTGTCGTTCTTGACGTTGCAATGATAAAACTTGTGGATACACCGTCAGTGCTATGCTGCCCGATTGGTCCGTTTTACGTTGAGTGCAGTGAAGAACTAACGCCACTGATTCGCCTCAGCGCTCAGCCCGCACTATCACGAACACGTACGTATCTGCCCGCAGTTTTTCTACACAGTGCCTCCGCAGCCTCGGACCTCGCGCAACCGCTCGCCCCAGTCCAGCCCTGGCTTCGTCTCTCAATCTCCGCGCTGGCCAGGCCTAAGACTTCGTCCCGTTCGGATGAGGTGAGGTGAGGCGAGCCGCGGACGCGGAGCACCCCTCTCGCACGCTCACAGCGCTCGCTCCCTCGCTCGGCCGCTGTGTCCTCGAAGATTCTTCCGACCCGCTTCCTGCACTCGTCTTCTGCAGGGGCGCCGCTGGGACGCCGTGCCAGGCGCTCGTCGCGCTGTCCGGCCAGGCACCTTACGTCCCATTCGTGCACCCTGCGACCAATCCCTCGCATGGGCGCACTACAGCTCCCCCTCCCACCCGGGCGGACCCTGGACCGGTGACCATCGTCGTCACAGAGCGCGTACAAGGTTCCAGCGCGAATCATATGCAAGCGTGGAACCTCAATAGAGCTGGCGCACCGCCTTGCTGTCGCACACCCCAGATCCGAGGGAAGCTGAAGCACGGGCGACCGCTGCAGACCTGCAGGGAAGATTGCAGACGGCGGACACACACGCCGGGAGCCGTGCCACTTCCATGACCACTGATCGCTCCGTGTGGTCGCAGTCAACTGACTGCCAGGCGAAACATATCGAACCACGGATATCGCCAGGAACTCCGCGGTGCACGCTGCACCGCTGTCTACGTCTTTCGTAACAATCAATGTTATTTTATTCGTATGTGCAATACAGAGGGGGCGTGGGCTCGCCCAGATAGGGCCCTGGCGCCCAGAAACAGGAGACTAGGCAAATTACTATTGATACACTGATGCGACCGTGATGGAGTGAACATTCTAGGCTGCGCGAAGCGTGATTATTTCTGCGATTGGCGTATGGATGAATGAATATGTGAATAAGTACGCAGGCTCCGTCTTCGGGAATGAAAAATTAGATGGGATGTGAGGGAGGAACCGATGTTGAGACAAAAACAGATAGGTGTGCCCGTACGTCTGCAGACAATGATCATATAACCCAGGAAAGGCGAGATATTAAAACACAACAGAACACAGAAAAACCCAGAACTGAGACAAAGACCCAAGACCAAATACATAGCACCGAGAGCAAGGCATTGCCCAGCGTCGAATATTGAACGTCGAAAATCGAAAACATTGCGTCGTGGTTTGCGTGAGGGCGAACGGTAACACATGCCGCCTAAGCACTGAGGACAGTGGCGGCGACACCCTCTTCCATCTTTAGCTTTCGTCCATTGCGTCATCGCGAGATTCTTCTAAATTTACATCTTCACCGAGGTCGAGCAGGGCCAGTCGATCTCCACCTTCAGCTTGTGCGCGCGAATACAGCTCCTCACGCTTGTTCTCGTCCGCCGTTAGATTCGCCAATGTGAACAACGCCTCGGCCAGCAACGGCGACACATCCTCCGCCTCCCCGCCCTCCCTCGGCTCTGCTTGCTGCTCGGTACCCCTCCCCGCCGCGCCCTTCGCCCTCTCTAGAAAGCCCACTGCGACGGTCAGGCCCTCCCGTGCCTCCTCGGCCTCCTTGCTGCCCAGGACGCCCTCCTCACCGCGTTCCAGAGCCTTCTCAATCTCTTCCACCGGCGCGCTTCCAATGACAAGCCACGCACGTCCCCGAGCAGCAGTCAGCGGCGCGCGCCACGCGTCCAGCTCTGCCTCCATCTTCATTTGTGTAAACACCGAGTCCGCCCAGCCCGCCCAGTACGCGCGCTGTGCGCCGTCAGAAAGGCGCTCCGCAACGCCGAGGACCTCCGACGCGATCGTGAAGAGCTCGCGTGGGCGCGAGAACGACGCGAGGGCATCCACGTGTGGGTAGGTAGGCGAAGATGCACGCGTGCGGTCGGTGGGGTGTGTGTACTCGCCGTCCGGCTCTAGTTGCAGCTCACGCTCGAATCCGGCAGACTGCCGCCTCCCCGTCATTGGTGACGACAGGGGATGTGCATGTAGTCCTACCCCAGGGTTCTCTGAAGGTGAGTAATGTGGGTGAGGCATGTGGAAGATCCCGCGTGAAAACTGGTCCATTGCGAGCACCATCACCTCATGGGGGCTTGCTGCATACAGACTCATCCTGCGAGACACAGGCGGGCGCGCTGCGGCGATCGCCGCGAATGG